TCACAAGAGGGAAGGAAGCAGATTTGCATGAAGAGACTCCCCTCCTGTGATAAGAGAGCCCTGCAGGTCCCTCCCCAGCTGTGGGCTCAGAGGCAGAGCTCCGGGGTCTCACCATGGCCTGGACCCCTCTCCTGCTCCCCCTCCTCACTCTCTGCACAGGTGCTGCCCCAGGCTCAGCCCCCACAGCACCAGGGGTCAGCCTGGCCCCGACCTTCAGCTCAGCACAGGGGATGCTGCAGGGTGTGGGGCCCTCTGGGAACGAGACCCTCACCCTCAGACTCTCCTCTGCTGTCCTCTCTTGCAGGTTCTGTGGCCTCTCAGCTGACTCAGGTGCCTGCAGCATCTGTGGCCTTGGGACAGACGGCCAGGATCACCTGCCAGGAAGATGGCATAAGGAGGTTTTTTACAAACTGGTACCAGCAGAAGCCAGGCGAGACCCCTGTGCTGCTCATCTATGATAGCAGCAAGCAGCCCTCAGGGATCCCTGAGCGATTCTCTGGTTCCAAATCAGGGACCACAGCCACCCTGACCATCAGCGGGGCACAGGCTGGGGACGAGGCTGACTATTACTGTCAGTCATTTGACATTAGTAGTAATTATCTCACAGCGACACAGGCAGACGGGGAACTGAGACACAAACCCCTGCCTCGTCTGTGTCACCCTCTCCCTCCAGCCTCATGAGGACTTTAGTCACAGCGGTGAGCAGGGTTAGCCCAGTTCACCCAGATCTGAGACCCTCAGGCTGCCTGACCCTCCAGCCCTCCAGGCAGGCTCAGCAGAGGGTGGGTCAGGGATGGATTTGGGGCTGGCGGGACCAGGCTGTTCTGGTGTAGTCTGAGCCAGGGTGTGACTTGGCTCAAGATGACTTGTAAGAAGGCCAGTCAGAGGGAGACATCCACTGAGTGGTCAAGGTCCCTGGATGTCCTTATGTGTGGCACCTGAACTGAAGCCACTGCCTCTACTCTGCGGCCCACATAACACAGATTGTCCCTCTGCACTGCCCATGTCTGTCTGACACCCTCAGGCCCAGCTCTCACGGCTCCTGCTACTCTGAACAGGGAAGCCCATCGCAGTGGGCTCTGTGGTAGCCACCCAGATCCGCTTTCGGGCTTATCCACCCACCCACCCGCACCATGGGCTGGAGCCCTGGTGGATCACAGCTGCTCTCCCCCTGGAAAGTGCCATGAGTGCAGGGGACGGCCTCTCCCTTCGTAGTGTGGTTCGGAAGCAGTGACTGCCTGATGCCCAGATCCCAATGTCGTGTCTTCATTTAGGATGACCTTGCAGTGCCTGCCAGCCGAGTGCACAGCTGTAACCCAGGCCCAGTCATGCTCCCACACTCCTCTCCCGAGAATGTCCCTGCCCCTGCTGCACGGCGTTCTCCCTCTGAGTAGGACTGCAGGGAATTCAAAAACTAGACAACAAACAATACACAGTGCCAAGGGGCAAGTATCACACAGTCTGGAGGGAAGAGAGGACTCTGGGGCCTGCAAATATTCACAGCACCAAAGAGCACGTGTGTGGGAGGAAACTCCTGCCAGGGAAAAGAACATCCAAAGACACTGGAGGGAACAGGAAGACAGAACCAGACATCCTTCCACCTCTCCAGGGACATCTAGATCCTCCATGCTTCCTTCACGCCTTTCTTCATGTAAAATGTAGATTTCTTGGCCTCACAAGAATGTAAGGGAAGCCCCTTACATGTAATGAGAAGCCCCCTCCCCTTGCCTTCTCCCTGCTGTCTGGAAGCCTTTAAAATGCCAAAGGTTCCAACCTGTCCTTAGGGAAGACAGTGATGGCTTGTCTGTGGGTTTCTGTTTTGGGGGAGTGTCCTCGTAGTATTGGCTTAATGAATCTCCATTGATGGAAATTTTGCCTCGGTCATTTATTTGGGTTACAGAAGCAAGAAAATATGGGGCATAATGAGCAGAAAAGTTATCAGTCCAAAGCGGCCCTGAAATTGCATGGATGGTAAACACTGTAGGCAGGGATGTAAAAGCAGGAGTTATAATTATATTCCATTTGTTTATGCGGGTAGAGGATTGATTGAAAGTGTTAAATAGAGACATGGAAAACATGGAAAAGGCCCGTATTAAACTTCCAGAAATGATCAGTAAAATGTCTGTGATAAAAAATACACTGGGCCAGGCATGGTGGCTCCCACCTGTAATCCTAGCACTTTGGGAGGCTGAGGCAGGAGGATCACTTGAGGCCAGGAGTTTGAGATTGCAGTGGGATATGATGACACCACTGCACTTGAGCCCAGGCAACAGAGGGAGACCCTGTCTCAGAAAAAAAATATACTGAAATAGACTGATTGCAGGGTAGATCCTGCAAAAGAAAATATCGGCCAACTTAAAGATATAGTATTGGAAGTTATTCAAGAAGAAACAAAGAAAAAGGAATGGCAAAAATATAAACAGAGCAACATTGAGTCATAGGGTATCTTCAAGCTGCTGTCAATGGAAAAGAACCCAAACTCTGTAAAATAATTTAAAGAGGTTTATTCTGAACCAAATATGTGTGACCATGGCCCAGACAGCCACACCCAAGAAGGCTTGAGCATGTGGTCTCACTGTGTTTGGAATGCAGTCTGGTTTTATACATTTCAGGGAGACAGGAAGAACATGTAAAGTCATAAATCAATATATGGAAGGTGTACGTTGGCTTGGTCCTAAAAGGCCATCCAGCGATGTCACTACTGGGCATTTATCCAAAGGCAAGAACATGAGTGTATCTCAGTGGTACCTTCACCCACATGTTTCCTGCAGTGTTATTCACGATAGCAAGGACGCAACATCAACCTACGTGTCATCGGCAGAGGAACTGATGAAGAAAATATGGCATCTACACACAATGAGATATGATTGAGTGAGGAAAAAGAGTAAAATTCTATCATTTGCAACATGGGTGGAACGCGAGGTCATTGTGTTAAGTGAAATAAGCCAGGCAGAGGAAGACTAACGTCACGTGTTCCTCCTCATGCGGGAGACAACAGAGTTGATCTCATGGAGGCAGCAAGTAGAGGACGGTTGCCAGGGAGGATGGGAGCGGGGAGAAGAGAGGCTGGTTAGTGGGAATAAACAGACAGTTATATGAAAGGAGTCAGTTCCGGTTTCCCATATCACAGTAGTGTGAGTATAATAAACAATAATTTATTATACGCTTCAGAATAGTGAGAAGAGAAGGTATGACACATTCCCGGCACAGAGAGATGGCCAGTGTGACAGGTGGTGCATATCCTAGAAACTCTGATTTCTTTATTGTGCAGTGTAGGCATTTATCAAAATGTCACAGGTACCCCAGAAATACATACAATTATTATCTATCAACAAATATTTCTAGAAAAGAAAAAAGTGTCAATCATGTACTTTTTACTCAGTAAAAATATCTTTGAACAATGGAAGCAAAATAAAACTTACTTAACCATGAAAATACTTGCAGAATTGATGACCCACAGACGCTCTATAAGAAATAATAAAAGACACTCCCAAGACAGAAAGAAAACGATACTAGATATAAATGTGAATCTACACAGAAATGAAAAAATCAGACATGGGAACTGCACGGATACACATAGAAATGCACATGAGCATAGACGTAAAAGATAAACCACAGGACAGAACAAAGAGACTTAGGAGACAATAATAGCAAAGTCTGTCCAACAAAAGCAGGTAAAGACTCATCTCAGGTGCATACGGAACATTCTGCAGGGCACACCGAGTAATCAGGATCTCAAATTTAAAAAGACAGAAATCGTACATAGTATGTTCTCCAACAGTGACATTAAAGAAATAAGAATGATGCAAGAAGACCATGGGATACTGTGTGCCAAAAAATTAGATGAAACGGACAAATTCCTAGAAACACACAAAACTGAGTCAAGAAGAAATAGAAAACCTGATTCAAACTACAATAAATAAAGAGAGTAAATTAGTAACTGAAAACCTCCCATGAAGAAAGGCCCAGGCACAGAGGGGTCACTGGTGAATTCTACCAAATGGTTAAAGAATGATTAATAGGAATTATTCATTAACTCTTTTGAAAAACAGAAGAGAAAGCGTAGCAACTCATTCTGTGAGGCTAATACTACGATGACAACCAAAAGCAGACAGAGTCATCAAAAGAAAACTGCAGACCAATAATTTCTAGAAAGATAGATGTAAACAAACCTCAACAAAATCATATTAACAAAATGAATATGTCAAAAGAAATATATTAAGCACCATGACCACGTGGTACTTATCACAGGACGGTAAGCATGTCTTATCATGTAGAAATCAATTAAGCCCCATATTAATAAAATAAGGGACAAAACCGCATGGTTATTGCAACAGTCACATCAAATGCTTTATGCAAACAAACATCGATGCTTGCTGTTTTTTTGCTCCTCTTAGAGCCTCACGAAAGGTAAGGTCTGTGGAGGAGATATGGGGTGGGATGCTGTTCCGTGCACAGATTCTGAACATCCCACAGCCAGCTGTGATGCACTTACCAATACATGCTACAGGATTGTAATGTTGTGATTGCAAATGCCCTGGTGGTCTGAGACTACCTCCTTGGCGGTGATTACTACAGGCATCCCAAAGGGAGATTAGGATTTCGGCAGGTATTATTTGAGCAGTAGGGTCACACACAGGAAAGGCTCCGGTCAAAGAGAAAAAACATGTATGGGCTCAAACATAGAAGGGAACAGAACACATCTGAGAAATAAGGAAAGTGCAGAGCGACTGGAGCTGAGTAGGGATGAGGAACACGGCAGGACCACCTGTCTCTACCTGGGCATCTCATCGGGATGTTGTCCCCTCCCCAACACACCGCCACTGTAGACTCTAAAACTGTCTGTTTCTAAACATTTCTTCCCATCACACACAGTCTAGCACCTGAACCAAGCCGAGCGTGATGAGGGCAGGGCAGTCGGCACCAGACCCAGGTGGCCTAAAAAGGACTCGTTAGTAGCAGAGGAACTGAGATTCCCAACTGTGGCTCAGACCAGAGCTTCTGACGTTTCCACGAGCTCACACATCCCCTAAGGGGTCTCCCTGAGATGCAGATGCAGCCTCAGCAGGGCCGGGTGGGCCCTGACTCTCCATGTCCGACAGCTCCCAGGTGAGGCTGGTGTCGCTGGTCCTGCAGGGACCACATTTTGCATGGATGAG